AGCATTAGATATATAAGAGAACTGCTTTCTTTATCGTGTTGGTTTCTAAAACATGAACGCTCCGTTATATACACCAATCCCACTCAAAAAAATTAACGACGCCGAGCCCTGCAAGCATACATTACTCGTGACGACTACAACTATTCACACTGAGTAATTATTTCATCCTTGATCTTAACAAACCCTAGCAGCATGGTCATCACGTGCTAGGGATCCATTTCGTACCAGTATGGACACGCAAGGTATTTATGTTTGTATGACTGGTCATTTACTGCAAGTTAAAAGCAAGCTAAACATTCACCGCTGATTTCATTGTTTCTCTAATGGATGGGTGTTTCCTGACAAAGACTGTGGCATTCAGCAAACACAAAGTATACTCAATGTGCGGATGCAAAAAAGGTCATGTGTACGAGGTAGCACTCGCGCTTGTATAGCTGTTTAACTAGTGAGTTCACTTTGCACTAATGACATACCAAATACTTGTAGACCTTTAGAAAAGAACAGAACGACGTGGGCGTAAATATCACCTTTTCTATTCATGCGATGTAATATACAACGTTATTTCGTTTGTGTTTATACTGAAACAAATAAACCCGCATATAGATCTACAGTCGCGGGGGTTACTAAATCACATAGACAACATATAAGCAGCATTGATATAAGGAAATCGATATGTCGGATTACAACTCTAACATTAAGAAATCAATATAATGGATATTACATTAACATAGGGAAATCAATTTATTATACATCAATACTTATAAGCATGCAATCAGCATATCACATTACAACTTTCGTATGCATGTAATCGACATATCACACAACAACTTTCCTATGCATGCAATCGACATATCACACAACAACTTTCGTATGCATGCAATCGACATATCACACAACAACTTTCCTATGCATGCAATCGACATATCACACAACTTTCCTATGCATGCAATCAGCATATCACATTACAACTTTCGTATGCATGCAATCGACATATCACACAACAACTTTCCTATGCATGCAATCGACATATCACACAACAACTTTCGTATGCATGCAATCGACATATCACACAACAACTTTCCTATGCATGCAATCAGCATATCACATTACAACTTTCGTATGCATGCAATCGACATATCACACAACAACTTTCCTATGCATGCAATCGACATATCACACAACTTTCCTATGCATGCAATCAGCATATCACATTACAACTTTCGTATGCATGCAATCGACATATCACACAACAACTTTCGTATGCATGCAATCGACATATCACACAACAACTTTCCTATGCATGCAATCGACATATCACACAACAACTTTCCTATGCATGCAATCAGCATATCACATTACAACTTTCGTATGCATGCAATCGACATATCACACAACAACTTTCCTATGCATGCAATCGACATATCACACAACAACTTTCGTATGCATGCAATCGACATATCACACAACAACTTTCCTATGCATGCAATCGACATATCACACAACAACTTTCCTATGCATGCAATCTACAAATCACACAACTTTCGTATGCATGCAATCGACATATCACACAGCAACTTTCGTATGCATGCAATCGACATATCACACAACAACTTTCGTATTTAGATCGCGCTCGTCTCACGCTAACAAGTTACTTACACTAGAGGGTCGGTCGGGTAGCCTAGTGGTTAAAGCGTTCGCTCGTCACGCCGAAGACCCGGGTTCTATTCCCGACATGGGTACAATGTGTGAAGCCCATTTCTGGTGTCCCCCGCCGTGATATTGCTGGAATATTGCTAAAAGCGGCGTAAAACCATACTCACTCACTTACTCACTCACTTAAAGCAGAAGTAAGAATAATGTAGATACAGATGACACAGACAGATACTGGATCGATACTCATGATATCAATCACTGGATTGTCCGTCCAGACTAGATTATTTACAGACCGCCGTCAAAAAGCTGGAATATTGCTGACGTTAAACAACAAACGAAACATACAGACACAGACACAGATTCTTGTTAAAAGGCTTGCGTAAAGCTCCTCATAAATATAACATATATTCAGCTGACGTTGGCAATACGTTATACTTGTACTTCGTTTATATGTGTTTTGTATGTAATCTATATAGACATGTTCCAGTTTAGTAGACTACCAGTAGAAGGACTTTCATTTTGTGGAAGCCTTGGTGGCTGAGTGGGTTAGATTGCCGACTTTCTGCTTTGACGATCAGGTGCCTCACTCTGGCAGTGTGGGTTCGAAACCCGGGTGGGACTCAACCGAAATAATGTACTTTCATTTGTACTTTAGTAAGAAAGGGTTAACCCAAATATAACATGTGCTACATTTGACCACTTTCTAAATGCCACTGTGTATTATTTGCAATCAATATTGGATTGGACTTTTCGGAGCAGAAACTGGGATGACGAGATAGTGTTATGACAAGAGAAGCACACAATCTGCTGAAAACCCGGAAATAAAAAAAAATCCCATAAACCAAACACACAGAAAGTCCCTGGTGTACGAAATGTACACAAGAATATCGCAGCACAATTATCTCAAACGTTAACAAACGTGATACCAAACTGAGGAGATGGCTGCAAATGATTCTTGTATGACTAGCTATAGGGTTTTGTTTGTTAAACAATCAAGATATGCTGACATAACACATTGAGACAATAGAACAGATAGCCACACGAACTGTGTTTAGAACGTTTTTGAAACAGTTTGTTTGAGTTTATTTAAGAGAAAATCGTTAAAAGGTGGCTTTCTGAATATTTGCTGATTGGTATAAAATAGCATTTTCAACACAATACTTTCGTTAATCAACTCAGACTCCCGCCATCGGTCTTGTATATACAACGATGTTCACACAAAGTAGACCATGATGTTTACACTAGGTAGACCTTCATGTCACACTATACAGACCATGATGTTACACTATATAGACCATGATGTTACACTATATAGACCATGATGTTTACACTAGGTAGACCTTCATGTCACACTATACAGACCATGATGTTACACTATATAGACCATGATGTTACACTATATAGACCATGATGTTTACTCTAGGTAGACCATCATGTCACACTATACAGACCATGATGTTACACTATATAGACCATGATGTTACACTATATAGACCATGATGTTTACTCTAGGTAGACCATCATGTCACACTATACAGACCATGATGTTACACTATATAGACCATGATGTTACACTATACAGACCATGATGTTACACTATATAAACAAAGTTGTAAGACTATATAGACCATGATATTACACTATATAAACCATGATGTTACACTATATAGACCATGATGTTCACACTAGGTAGACCATCATGTCACACTATACAGACCATGATGTTACACTATATAGACCATGATGTTACACTATATAGACCATGATGTTTACTCTAGGTAGACCATCATGTCACACTATACAGACCAGGATGTTACACTATATAAACAAAGTTGTAAGACTATATAGACCATGATATTACACTATATAAACCATGATGTTACACTATATAGACCATGATGTTCACACTAGGTAGATCATCATGTCACACTATACAGACCAGGATGTTACACTATATAGACCACGATGTAAGACTATATAGACCATGATATTACACTATATAAACCATGATATTACACTATATAAACCATGATGTTACACTATATAGACCATGATGTTCACACTAGGTAGACCATGATGTTTACACTAGGTAGACCATGATGTTCACACAATTTAGACCATGATGTTTACACTAGGTTGACAATGATTTTACGCAATATAGACCATGATGTTCACACTATATAGACCATGATGTTAACACCAGGTAGACCATGATGTTTACACTAGGTAGACCATGATGTTCACACAATTTATACCATGATGTTCACTCTATTTACCTAGAGTCAAATCTTATGTCAGGTATTCAAGCTATTTCACTTCAAAGAGGGACAGCTGAATGACTCATAAACTATTAAAAAATTCTCGTTAATTCTTTGCCCCTTCGGTGTCATATTGTAACATGACCAAAATCAGAGGGAAATAGACTATCTAATAGTTAACATTAAAGTCTAAATAGCGGCAAATTAAATAATGAATACCAGAATATTATTTTGTCAGTTGCAAGGCTATATCTCTCATATTGTTCAGAGAGCTGTTTCGTTAAGGCATGTACTTCAGATCCCACGCAGATCGATACTTTGCTCGTTTCACTTGCAGTGCCATATCAATTAAGACGACGGTCACCCAAGCGATATTTACGATCACTTGTGGAATAACCAATTAAAAACTGTCAATAGGCATCAGGAATGGTGCTTGAAATAAGGAACTGTGCCCTTTGAAAAGAAGGACATCATCTGGTGTCGTTATTGGTTGTGAATCAGAGTGAACTTTTGACAAGAAAATAAAAAGGCTACATCGGATCCAAACACGATTTTCAACATGATGTGTTTCTAAATACTTCTTTGGGGCGTGTCGTGAAAAGGTGGTGTGATGTTTTGGCTGATCACGTGTTTGTCGAAACATATGACCTGCTTATGGTACGTGATCACTGCATGACAAGGATCTTAAGAAGGTACACATTCAGAACAGCAGATCGAAGAAATGTGTACATGTGTCATTTCTATAAGTATAATAAAATCAAGGCGAATTACAACCTGTGAACGGATTCGGGTCAGATAAACCAGGGGTTGATATAATGAGCGCGTCGTCCAAGGCACCGCGATTCGCTGTGCAGAGTTGCGTCCCTTGGGCACGCCAGAAACCTATGATTGTGTGTTCCAATCCAGGTTCACCCCGATTGTGTTTCTAGGTTTGTCAGCACCATACTTGTATGTACCATACCCGACGGTCTTTCCTCCCACATTTAGCTGACACGCCGCGATATAACTGTAATACTGTTAAAAGCGGCGTTAAACTCAACTCACTCACTCACTCACTCCAGCAAACCAGGTGGACAGGTCCTTCCTTACCTCAATGACTCTCAGGACTCTGGTCAGGTTGCCCACTCCCTCCTTGACCGTCACAATGACCCCGTGGATCTTGTGACCCACGGCGGGAGGGGACGCTGCTCCCCCATTCTGGACGAAGACCTCCTCCTCATTGATGGAATCCCCCCGACTGAGGAATCGCTCCCTCCTCTCAAACTCCTGGTTCGTGGCCGTTTCAAACTTGGCATCGTCTATGAGACTCCGGTGTCGCCAGCCTCCTCCATGCTGAAACAGAACAATAGTGAAGCATTTGTCTATTTACAGGTCGTGATTAAAACATAATCTTGTATCCTTTAGTAATGTTAATGTGATGTATAGGTGATTGTAGACTTATTTACAGGCAATGTGATGTTGATACTGGGTAGGTACGATTGTAGAGTGATATGCCATGATCCGTCAATGTGATGTTTACATGGAGTACAGATTATTGGTCATGTCTACATTTGATAGAGGTAACTTTAGGGTCATATGTAGGGAATGTGATGTTTACAGTGGTTAGGAATAAGTCTAGACTCCCGTTATATAAGGTTATGTGATAGATGATGAGAGGGATGAGTGGGGCGGCGTGTGTGTGTGTGTGTGCGTGCGTGCGTGCGTGCGTGCGTGCGTGCGTGTGTGTGTGCTTCTTTTATGGCTGACAATTTCCTTTTTTCAACGGTGTGACCCACAGTAGTTTTTTTCAAGCATTTTTTGGACAATTTACTTTTTCCGAAAAATTTACCTCCGCATTAGAAACTTAACCTACTATTCTCTGTAAGCCCACCACCAGAATATCAGAATTTTCATTTTGGAGATATTAACATCACTACATAACTCTCATCATAAAATGCATTCAAAGCGTTTGTAAACCAATAGCATTACCGTCAAATTTACAGTATCATCTGCATATTATCAAAATATCAGAATTTTCATTTTGGAGATATTAACATCACTACATAACTCTCATCATAAAATGCATTCTGAGCGTTTGTAAACCAACATCTGCACATTATAACAAGTATTTGTAACCACAATGGTATGTCATGTTTACTAACTCTCTCAGCATTTACCCCTTCACATCCCCGCTGATACAGGTATGCTTCTATCTCATGTAGAAATATTGACAGACATATGGACAGTTCATGAAGGACATACCGTTTGTCATAACCCCCGACTTTATAGTTTGATAGATATTTTGGACTAAAGTAAGAAATCTACCTTAGACTTCATCTTCATGTCATTGTAGCCAATACCCAGGTTAACTACGGTTAATCTCGAACAGCCGTGTAACTTAGTCTTTGGGGGATACCGTTGCAAGAATAGACCCGTGAAGACTCGGATTAGAATTGGTCTTCAGCAAGCAATGCTTGTAGTGAGAGGCGACTAACGGGATCAGGTGGTCAGACTCGGTGACTCGGTTGATGCATGTCACCGTATCCCAATTGCGTGGCTCGATGCTGATGATGCCAATCACTGGATTGTCTGGTCCAGACTCGATTATTTCCAGACCGCGGTCATGTAGCTGGAATATTGCTGGGTGTGGCGTTAAACAACAAACAAACAAACGTATAAAGAATAGGCTCACAAACACTATCCACTGCATCTACGCAACATCAGGTTGAACCGCAAGCATCAACACCAAAGATGACCTTGTCACTAAACATGGTTCCATCCACAATCATCATGCTGATGATGCAAAGATCTTTCTTCACAATTTCCTATCCGAAATGAAGCAGGTGCTTAGAGATAATGCCACACCGGTATCACTTATTTTCATGCAGCTGAATGCCGGAGGTCACCTGACTCCTTGGAAGACACGAATGTAGTGCGCTTGATAACGCCCTGCAGACCGCCAAACGCCGGTTCCTGAGTGGCAAGACAACCGTCCAGCAATATCATGATACTAGGGCACTATGTCAAATTATGTGTGTCAAATGTAATATGGTAACTGTTTGATTGGCATTCTAGACGCTGGTGAGTATATAAGTGAGTGAGTGAGTGAGTGAATATGGTTATACGCCGCTTTTAGCAATATTCCAGCAATATCATGGCGGGGGACACCAGAAATGGGCTTCACTCATTGTACCCATGTCGGGAATCAAACCCGGGTCTTCGGCGTGACGAGCGTACGCTTACCACTAGGCTACCCGACCGCACGGTTAAGTAAATAAGAAACCAGACAACTTTGTGGATAACAACTTATGGTTTATTGCATTCAGCGACGTTTCGACGTAGATTCTTACACCCTTTTCAGTCTGGATGACGGTGTAAGAATCTACACCAAAACGTCGTCATGCTATAAAACCAGAAGTTGTTATACACACATTTGTATGTTTTCTAATTGTAAATGTTCCTATTTAGACAAAAAAAACATATGTATATTAATAGTGTCATATTGAATATACCACTTCATAAGTTATATTGGGGTCTCACTGTGAGTGTTAGAAAGTATCTTGATTGATGATTTTGAACATTAGAAACTAAACAATAAATCATTAAGAAATTGTCTCTCCTTGTCAAATACTTATTTGAAATATCGCTTCGGGACAGTGGCTTATGTATGCTTATGATTGATTTTATATGTCAGGTAATGCGATGTTTACATGGAGTAGGGTGGTTGTAAAGTTATAGACATGTTATGTGATGTTTACATGGAGTAGGGATGATTGTAAAGTTAGAGACATGTTATGTGATGTTTACATGGAGTAGGGGTGATTGTAAAGTTATAGACATGTTATGTGATGTTTACATGGAGTAGGGGTGGTTGTAAAGTTATAGACATGTTATGTGATGTTTACATGGAGTAGGGATGATTGTAAAGTTAGAGACATGTTATGTGATGTTTACATAGAGTAGGGGTGGTTGTAAAGTTATATACAGGTTATGTGATGTTTACATGGAGTAGGGATGATTGTAAAGTTATATACAGGTTATGTGATGTTTACAGGGAGTAGGGATGATTGTAAAGTTAGAGACATGTTATGTGATGTTTACATGGAGTAGGGATGATTGTAAAGTTAGAGACATGTTATGTGATGTTTACATAGAGTAGGGGTGGTTGTAAAGTTATATACAGGTCATGTGATGTTTACATGGAGTAGGGATGATTGTAAAGTTAGAGACATGTTATGTGATGTTTACATGGAGTAGGGATGATTGTAAAGTTATAGACATGTTATGTGATGTTTACATGGAGTAGGGATGGTTGTAAAGTTATAGACATGTTATGTGATGTTTACATGGAGTAGGGGTGGTTGTAAAGTTATAGACAGGTTATGTGATGTTTACATAGAGTAGGGGTGGTTGTAAAGTTATAGACATGTTATGTGATGTTTACATGGAGTAGGGATGATTGTAAAGTTAGAGACATGTTATGTGATGTTTACATGGAGTAGGGGTGGTTGTAAAGTTATAGACATGTTATGTGATGTTTACATGGAGTAGGGGTGGTTGTAAAGTTATATACAGGTTATGTGATGTTTACATGGAGTAGGAGTGGTTGTAAAGTTATAGACATGTTATGTGATGTTTACATGGAGTAGGGGTGGTTGTAAAGTTATAGACATGTTATGTGATGTTTACATGGAGTAGGGGTGGTTGTAAAGTTATATACAGGTTATGTGATGTTTACATGGAGTAGGGATGATTGTAAAGTTAGAGACATGTTATGTGATGTTTACATGGAGTAGGGATGATTGTAAAGTTATAGACATGTTATGTGATGTTTACATGGAGTAGGGGTGGTTGTAAAGTTATATACAGGTTATGTGATGTTTACATGGAGTAGGGATGATTGTAAAGTTATAGACATGTTATGTGATGTTAACATGGAGTAGGGGTGGTTGTAAAGTTATAGACAGGTTATGTGATGTTTACATAGAGTAGGGGTGGTTGTAAAGTTATAGACATGTTATGTGATGTTTACATGGAGTAGGGGTGGTTGTAAAGTTAGAGACAGGTTATGTGATGTTTACATAGAGTAGGGATGATTGTAAAGTTATATACAGGTTATGTGATGTTTACATGGAGTAGGGATGATTGTAAAGTTATATACAGGTTATGTGATATTTACATGGAGTAGGGATGATTGTAAAGTTAGAGACATGTTATGTGATGTTTACATGGAGTAGGGATGATTGTAAAGTTATATACAGGTTATGTGATGTTTACATGGAGTAGGGATGGTTGTAAAGTTATATACAGGTTATGTGATGTTTACATGGAGTAGGGATGATTGTAAAGTTATATACAGGTTATGTGATGTTTACATGGAGTAGGGATGATTGTAAAGTTATATACAGGTTATGTGATGTTTACATGGAGTAGGGATGATTGTAAAGTTATAGACATGTTATGTGATGTTTACATGGAGTAGGGGTGATTGTAAAGTTATAGACATGTTATGTGATGTTTACATGGAGTAGGAGTGGTTGTAAAGTTATAGACATGTTATGTGATGTTTACAGGGAGTAGGGGTGATTGTAAAGTTATAGACATGTTATGTGATGTTTACATGGAGTAGGGGTGGTTGTAAAGTTATAGACATGTTATGTGATGTTTACATGGAGTAGGGGTGGTTGTAAAGTTATAGACATGTTATGTGATGTTTACATGGAGTAGGAGTGGTTGTAAAGTTATAGACATGTTATGTGATGTTTACAGGGAGTAGGGGTGATTGTAAAGTTATAGACATGTTATGTGATGTTTACATGAATAGGGGTGGTTGTAAAGTTATGTACAGGTTATGTGATGTTTACATGAAGGTAGATGTGATTGTAAAGTTATATACAGGTTATGTGATGTTTACATGAAGGTAGATGTGATTGTAAAGTTATATACAGGTTATGTGATGTTTACATGGAGTAGGGGTGATTGTAAAGTTATAGACAGGTTATGTGATGTTTACAAGGGGGAGGGGTGGTTGTAAAGTTATGTACAGGTTATGTGATGTTTACAGGGAGTAGGGACGGTTGTAAAGTTATATACAGGTTATGTGATGTTTACATGGAGTAGGGGTGGTTGTCAAGTTATAGACAGGTTATATGATGTCTACATGGAGTAGGGGTGATTGTAAAGTTATAGACAGGTTATGTGATGTTTACATGGAGTAGGGAGGTTGTAAAGTTATAGACAGGTTATGTGATGTTTACAGGGAGTAGGGGTGATTGTAAAGTTATAGACAGGTTATGTGATGTTTACATGGAGTAGGGTGGTTGTAAAGTTATAGACATGTTATGTGATGTTTA